TTGATTTGGTTTCAATTATTTTTTTAAACGATCACTCTAAGTTTAGACCTTTTTACCGTTTTTGATCCTTTAATTAAACCACAAGTGATAATTTTCTTACATTTTACCAAAATAAACTAGACTTTATAATGAATCCAATGTATTAAAAATTGAAGGTCCGAAGAAAACCTCCTCCAAAAAGTCTAATTTCTACGAATTTAGATATTCTATTGGAAATTAATTTATATATACCATAAACTGTTCATAAGAAAGCCTTCATAATTTTATTCCATAAATAGAGATCTCAATTAAAGTCATAAAAATTAAAAGAGCTCTAATAATTGAAAATTCCCATTTTTCAATTGTTTAAATAAAAATTTTAAATTTTTATTTAATTAAAACACGTGTCAATGCAAAATAGTAAGTTTAGGATGAATTATAAATGATTTGGAGCAAGAAAAATGTAGAAAAAGCTGAAAAACCAAGTTTGCTACGTTGCGGTTCGGAGCCCGAATGACATCGACGGATTAGCAGGACGTGCTTGATAAACCGTATTGGCGTGCCATACCAAACGACAGGACGTGCTTGATACACCATATTGGCATGCCATACCAAACGACACATGCTCACCTCCAACCTCTCACTAAACGACTCTGGCTAGAACGGCACGCCATGGCCAAAGTAACACATCCTTGTTGACGGCTCTCCATTCTTTTCTCTCTCTCTCTCTCTCTCTCTCTCTCTCTCTCTAAAATAGTTGCGTAAATCTCAAGCCCAATTTTATATATTTTTTAGACGGTTCAATACATAAATTTAACTTTGTGCTTTTCACAAAATGAATAAGTAAGGTTAAAATTGTAAGATATCAATATTAACAATTTTTCCTCTAAAATTTTGTCATTTCTAAACAACGAAAAATAAATTTATTTTCTTTCCATTATTATTTTGTCATTAAAAATTAAGCTCTTAATTCACATAATAAAATTGATTTTCATTCCCTGAAGTGAATGAAATAGTATGTCACAATACTGGGCAAAAAAAAAAAAAAAAAAACATTCCCTGAAGGAATGAAATAGATATGTCACAAATACTGGCAAAAAAAAAAAAAAAAAAAAGAAAAAAAGAATTAATTTATAATCATGAATAGAAGATCGTCATGAAATGAAAACCCATCATTTTGGAATTATTTCATTCCCCAGAAAAAAAAAAAAAAAAAAAGAAAAAAAGAATTATTTATAATCATGATATAGAAGATGTCATGAAATGAAACCCATTCATTTGGAATTATTTCATTCCCCAGAGTGAATTCAATCACATATAATATTGGGTGCAAATGTAAATAATGACAATAATATTTTGTCATTGAGAATGTTAACAATATCATTATTGAATTACTGATATTTATAATCGTAGTAACCACAAGTAATTAAATAAATCTTACCATTAGAAATGGCAAAACATAATATGGGATATTGATTATATACTTGTTGTACACCAAAACATATGAAGGCAAATTTTTACCTTGATACTAAAAGAATTATTAGAGGTTCTTGAAGAAATATTATTATTTAGAAAAATAACTTTCATGTATTATATATTATTATTAACTTTAGAAAATGAGATCTGTATAATTCTATGTTCTTAAGTTATTAATTGGAGAAGAGAGGAATATTTGGGTTATTAAGTTGCTAAGAATGATCAAAATGTTCCGGTGTGCTTGGAGTTCTCAAATCTACTATTTATAGTGGGGAAGAGTTGATTGGGGAAATCAGGGTAATAGAGAAAAATCCTTCAATATCCCATTAGTTAGGGATATGATATCCTAAATATCTTGTGTGATATCATATGTTATCAATTATTATCTCTTTAGAAATTTATTTTAAGGATATTTGCAAAAATAAATATCATATATAATAATAGTAATGAATATAGTGGTAAACTATAAGTTTACATATTCAAATGTTTTTATTGTTTGATAATGATCGGTTGTGCCACCTAGGATCAATATTGATGCGAAAAAAAAAAAAAAAGGAACTAAATTCTCATATGGATATTTATTAAAGAACCCAAGGTTTCTTCAACTCTAATGAATTTTAATGGTTGTGTTCTCAAAGCAATTTTTATGAGAAAACAAAGCATCTTATTTATATATAAGGATATTACTATTATATAGTAGTAATTATTTGCATTATGCTAACAAGTTTCTATTGCCAAATTTATTGATTGTTATAAATCCCGATATTAGGAGGAGAATAAGTAGCTATAAAATACTAATTACTGAAAATAATGATTATTATCAAATTTTAATCTTCTCATAAGGTTATATGAACTAAAAGTTGAAAAGATAATTATATTATAAAATATTTTAAGTCAATT